GCCGAAAGCTGCTATGTCTGACTCCTCTGTCTGTGTCCTACCAGCAAGTGCCCACCACATGACTATCTGGAATACAAGTGAGCCCATGAAGCCAGGAAGGGGCACAGCACGGTCTTCAACTCTAGACGTAGAAAACAAAAAATGTCCCAGTAGCATGTGCATGTGAGAACAATAAAAGTTAAATAATGAAAGAGAAAACAGCATTCTATACAAGAGATGCCAATATTTAAGAAATTTCTAAGGAAATCTGTAATGAGAAGCTTTGAAATTCACACATAATTCTTTTAGTTCAACTAAAGAAAACATTTTCAAATAAAAGGGAAGTTGAGTCTTCCCTTCACACCATAAGAAAACAAAAGTGTGTAAGAACTGACATACACAAAAGCAAACAAACAAGCAACCATTGCATCTGGGTCAGACACACTCCCCAGTAAGTCTGTATACCTTTAAATATTTTGACTTTCACTTCCTCTATTGCTGAACTCCTAGAGGTCAGAGGCCAGGTCTTTGTCATTTCTCCAAACACAGAACCTGCCACAAGGCCCTGGACACAGAGCCTCTGTAAATGTTTGCTCACTGAAAGCATGAAAGATGCACCGTGGTCTGCAGAATGAGGGAACAAACAGGGAGTTCAGCATGCAGAGAGTGTAGAAAGTACATGACCCAAATCACAGTCTAAGTCAGAATCACCATCACCAACCCCTATCATTCTCAGTTTCTTTTAAAGAAAAAATAAAGATCTTCCTGTACTCTGGGTTTTCAATTTTCTAGGTTTTTTCTCCCCTCCTTCAACAAGGTATTGTCACATGAAATGGAGCTATTATGAGCTTGGGCCTTTCAAGTTCACACTCTATTAGTGGTTACACAAAGTCTGCTAGTATTATTCTGAATCCAGCCTTTGACTGCAACCCCAAGCGGTTGAATCGTCATACTAAGGCTACCAGAAAGCACTAGCAAAGCATGCATTCAGAGAACAATAAAAAATGCACAAATGTCCTACCCTCTGATCAGCACTACTTTGTTCCGTGCAAACCTCAAAGGTAGAGCCTTAAGACTGATCTCTATGCGAGAAAGGAAGAAAAAAATGAAGGAGCATGAATTAAAAAATATGAAGAATATAAGCAGCTATAATTTACATAAAGCCCCCAATTTTCTTTGGTAAGAAATTCATATTTAATGCCTAGTGAGGCAGACCCTGGCATGTGGCAGAGTAGGAGCTCTCCTCTAAGAAGAACCAGTAAATAACCATTGGGGACCCCTTACCCAGCCTGCCACCTTGTATAGTAGTGGGTCCCTGCAAAGGGCAAAGGCTCCCTTTCATTCTTAGGGATGCCTTCCCAGCAACACAGCTGCAGCCCCTCCAAGTCTGTCTTAGGATCTGAGTGCACATTTGTAATATGGAAAAGGCATTCTCTACCTGAAACCAGCAGAAACTTGACAGGCATGGACAGTCTGGAAAGGTCACAGAGGAGGAAAAAAAAGGTTCTTTCTTCCATGGCTGTGGGGAGTTTATTGTTGCTGCTTCCCAAAAGGAACAGTAGGAGATGAATAACTGAAATTGAAATGTTGCTATTACTGATTTTCTAAACTATTTGTGGGTTACACTTTCTCTGGGGATGTCATGCCTGTAAGCAACTCAGAAGACAGGGGGATTTAACACATACTAGGAAAATGCCTATTCTAGGCTGGAACTCCACTAAATATCAGGTTCCTCACACAACCCAATAAAGGCTAAAAGTTCTGAAAAGTAAGATACCAAGGTCATAAGCTTGATCCAAACTCGAGCTTCTCTGATTTGAATGTCCTGCCATCCTGTCCAGTATCAAGAATAAAACTAATGAGTTTTGCTTCACTATTCAAATGTAGCAACAAGGAAAACAATAGCTATACTTACTAACTTTAAAAACAGAAAATGTAAACACAGGCCAAGATATTACAGTTGATACGTCATAAAATTCTTTTGAGGGAAGATGACTCAGTTTGGTGGCCCACCTGATGAGGGACTTCAGTGTTTACAAGCTGAATGTGAAAGGTTTGGTTTCCTCCATGCTCACCAACAAGCCATATCTCAGGTAAGTGCGACATAGTTAACCTGGAATTGAGGGATACATAGGGATTCAGACCCTCGTGGTTGACCTTTGCACTGCATACTGAAAAGGGCTTGGTAAGCAAGTTGATGGAGAAATATAATCACAAGGCAAATGTTTAACCTTCTAAAGAAAATAAACCCCCTTTTTTACAAGAAGTTTAACTTGATCAGTATCAAGCCACTGAAAACTGGCATGCTGCTTATAACCCTACTCTTCAAGAAAGTCCTAGAAGACTGACTACATTTCGCCACTTATTAATTTGTATTATCAAATATGCTTTGTTGCAAAAGCAGCATGCCTGTCTAAATTTTTACATTCCAGCCTTCACTCAGTATTCCGGTCACACTCCATTTGAGAAATTCCAGCTAAAAAGTCTCATGTGTCATTAGACTTCTGAGAAGAATCATGTGAACTATTAGAGGGCAAAAGCCCTCTTCTCGGAGAAGTCTGCAGGAGAAGTCTTGCTTGTTTAAGACACACACATGCAAGAGCACGCGCGAGCATGCACACACGCACGACACACATGCACAGTCCCTGGGTTTGGTTGAGATATGATTAAAAAAAATCAGGTTCACTGAATCCACGGATTGTCACTGCGGGTCAAGGGAGAGGTCATGGTAGTCTTGGACACACACACTGTGAGTGAATGCAGGTCCCCAGAGCACAGTCCTTGACTGTGGAGGTCATTTATCTGTCTTGCAGCAGGCCTCACAGTCCCTCACAAAAAGAGCAGGCCTGAGCTTGGGGCTGAGCGGTTCTGGGCTGTAGAGGAGTAGTGCTGAGCAAGACCAGGAAAAGAGTGATGAAGAGGTACAGAGATGCTCCAGAGAAGAAAAAGCTACAAACAAAACAACAGTTAAGAGAATCCACAGACAAGATTCAAGATAACCCAGGGATGGAAGGGGTGGCAAATTATGTTGCCTGGAATAGAGGAGGGTTGGGAAATAAAACTACGAACTGAGACCCCCGAGCTCCACAGTCCTACACTGTAGCACCTTACACACCTGTCATTCTTTATCTCACATAACCACTGAAATAACAAAGTCATAGACCAACCATACCAGGGCTTGCATGCCCCCCCTCCCGGGGGGTAGCCTACATTCCTCATGGATTCCAAATGAAATTAACATGATAAATGCAGTCCCTAAGGTAGCTTTGTACAAAGTTGACAAAATACACTCCAACCACCTAACCAGCCCCTGGAAGAAGAAAAGCAGCCCTCTATCACAGTTGCGAATCCAATGCCAAGTTCCTTCTAAAATGCTCACCCCGAGTGTCCAGCAGAGGGAGTCTCAAGGAGGTACTTAATAAAGAAAAAACTGTTTCATTTTAGCACTCCAGACAGTGGGAGCTTTGACTGCAGCCCCCTCCCCTAGAACAGATGAACAATGAATGGCCGACATGGGCTCTCCTACGGTGTTCACATACCCATTGGCATGCTCCTATTCTATGTGGTGGAGTGACCAGAAATTTTGTTTTGTTTTGTGGAACGGTTAAATGGACCTTGTGTTCTTCAGAATCAAAGAGGAAAGCCCCTGGAATAACATTTCTCTGTTGCTTTCTAAACAGCCCCTTTGTTTCTAAGAGACTCTGGAAAAAAATATTTACAGTCCATAGGTTATTTACAGCCTCATTATTCAGAGTCGGGCTGGTAACTTTATTGCGTACAGAAACCTAATTCATTTGGAGCCCTGGAACTAATAACAGATTTTCTTTTCAGATAAGTTTTTTTTTTTAAATCAGCCTCTCCTAACAGAGATCAAACTATTAATGAGATCCCAGTTTCACTGGGCCCCACAGTTCCCCGGGTTTATAGGATTACAATCTCCCCTCGCCCCTCCTCTTGGTTCCTGGCAAACCCGTTTCCCTCTCATTTGCGATTTCATCCACCGAATATCTGAACAAAACCGAAAGAAAGCCAGATGGATTCACGCTAAAAAAGTATGTAAAAGGCTGCTATTTCAATGATTTCACGAGAGAAACATTTTCACGATGAAATAACTGAAAATTCAGGCACACTTTGGTTGAAAAAGCCCCCGTACTACAAGCACACAAAAACACATAGAAGTGTAAAAACTTAGTTGATTCGGGTTTGATTTTTCTCGCTGCAAGCTGACGGAACTGACTGAAGAGAACCGAAAGAGTGTGCGAGGCAGCTGTATCGCCTTACCTTTTCTTTCTTATGAAGACAGTCAAACGGGGGGGGGGGGGGGATCAGCCAACGCCAGGTGAAGGTGCACAGCACACAGATCCACCCAGGCCGAGCCAGAAAACCTTCTTTCGCCCCCCTCGCCCCCCAAGCCAAACTACATTCTCCCTGCCACACGCTAATTGCGGGGAGATTTTGAGCCTATTTCATTGTTCTGCCTGGGTCTGAAATGGACTTTTCATCTCTACCCTCTCTCACCGCTTGGCCCCTCACAATCGGATTCCACAGCCGCCGCCGCCACCACCCCCCCTAAAAAATCGGAGGCTCGGAAAGAATAAAGGAGTGTGGGGTGGGAGTGGAGATGTTTGGAAAAGGGAGCAGAGAGGACGGACAAGTAGGAAGGAGATCATTTAAAGGTACTGGGGGAGGATCGCATCACCTTCATTTATCACAAATAAACAGAAAGCAGTCACGGATCCGTCTTTTCCCACACGCCGCCCCCATTTCTTTTCTTTGGGCAACAGCCCACCCGGCACACACCCCCCAGCCGCCTTCTCTGCCCTGGAAATAAGATCCTGCTCCAGGCCGGCTCCGGTCCCGTCTGGGCCCGGGATGGGGGCACCGGGGAGGGTCACGAGCCCCCGCGGCCAGGGCCCGGGGCTGCGGCCGGGGGCTGCCGGGCGAGGGGCCGCGGGCAGAACAAAGCTGCGGGGGCCGCGGCCGGCCGAGCAAGCAGGGGATCGGGGCCGGACGCTCCTTACCTTCGTACACGGGGGCCATCGGGGCCGGGGTGTCCGCGGTTCATGGCAACGGAGAAGGGAACGCGGCGCGCGAGCTCGGCCCCCTCAGCCTCAGTGGGAATCTGCCATCTTGAGCCTGTGTCTCCGCTCTCGGCTCAGCCCAGGCCGCCAGCGCCCGCATCACCGCCTCACTTGGCCGGCGCCGGGGGAGGGGGCCGGGCGGGCGCGTCGCCGCCACCGCCGCCGCCGCCGCCGTGGCCGCGGCCCGGGCCCTGCGCGGGGGGCTCGGCCGGCCCGGGGCGGCTAAGGCGCCGAGGCCGAGGGCCGGGCGGGTCCGCGAGGGCGGGAGCCGGGGCGGGCTGCGGCGGCCAGGGCCCGGGCCGGAGCTCAGCTCCGCATGGCTGTGAGGCGGGGGCGCCGGCAAAAGTTGCCCGTGAGGAGCAGGGGGAGGGGGCGGGGGCGGGGCGGCGCGGCCGGGCGCGAGCGGGCAGGCGGGCAAGCGCGAGCGAACGAGCCGGGAAGAGCCCCAGGGAGTCCGCGCGCAATCGAGCGCCGATGGCACGGATGCGAGGCGGGGAAGGCCGAGCCGAAGGACGGAGCCGGGCGTCGGCGGGGGCCGAGCGCGGCCCGAGGGGAGCCGAGCGGCCGTGCGAGCCGGGCCCGGCGAGAGCGCGGTGCGCTGGCCCGCAGCCGCCGACCGGAGCTCCGCGGTGGAGGCGGCCACAACTTTGTGTGTGCGTGCTTGGGAGTGCGCGCGTGGAATGTGCGCGCGCCGGCCGGGCCGGGGAGCGCGATCCGCTGCTGCCGACGGCGGTCCCGGGGCCGGGGAAAGTGTCTTGGTCCCGGCGCGTGCGGGCTCCGTGCTCGCCGACACGCGAGGGGAATGAATGGAGGGAGTGGGCGCGTAGTCCTCTCCGGAGGATGCCCGGGGAGCTCCCTGAACGCCTGGAGAAAGGCAGCGTCAAGATGAACGGCTGACCCCAGCCGTTCCGAGAGCCCTCTCCTCCATCATCCGGGTGGGAGGGTCCCACCTAGCGTTCCAGGGTTTTCCTCCTCTCTACGCGCTCCGATCCGAGCAAAATGTTCTTTAAACTCTTCCAGCCTGGAGTCCTGCCCTGGTTTGCCTCTCCAGCTCGCTCCTGAAAGTCTGCACAGGACACCCTGCCATTGCCTCCAACTTACGAAAACTTGTTGAGTCCTGACACTTGAATATATTATAAAACAAATTTAGTGGGTGGCAACATGCTTTTGAAAATCCAACAAATTATTATCAGAATCCAACAAAAAAAATTAGTAGTGCTAATTGCCCTTAAAAAAAGCGAACTGTTGTCTTATAAACCCTTTGTTTTCACGTATAAATACTAGACACCTGATGTAATTTCTAGTATTTCCTACCTGTGGATCATAGGTCAAAACAGTTTAAAAGCTATCATGGGGGTGGGGGTGTAAAACGACGGCCTCTAACTCTATACAACGTAAAAAAAAAAAAAGCCCATTATTTTATTTTTTAAACCCATTATCTTTATCTTCTCACTGTTCATCCATCCCGCCTCTGTACCCCGTGCTCATCGTCTTCCCCGAATAAAAGACAAGCTAGCTCCTGCACGCATTTAGCTTGTTTTGTTACTGGAAAATAATTTTCTTTTCATCTTGGGATGGTCCTTGACGGCCATCTTCTCTGCCTCAATATTTAAACCCTGCATAAACTAGTGCTTCATTTAGCCTAATATCATTTACATTTGGAAACTCATAACCTGCCATTGGTAAGGGGACCCTCGGAGATCATCTGGGCCTGCTGTGTAGTTGGAGAAAAGAAACCCACAATAGTAAAGGAAAGTGTCCAGAGACACAAAGAATCGAGCCTTAACCTAAGATCACTAGGCCTGTGCTGATCTTTCTTCACACCCCCATTCATCCCTTTTTGTCTCCTTAATCCTTAACTGTCCATGGATGCTTGTTCCTAAGCACTGCTGCTTTCTCAGAGTGCATGGTTCTGGCCACTCCATGCTCCTGCTTCCATCCTATAAGACTCAACCTCGTGTAGTGCTAAGTTTCTTAGCTCCTTGGCTTTTAGTCAAAACAGGCAGGTTCCAACTTACCTCTCCTAGGACATGATTTCAGCAAATCGTGGCCTCTCCCGCCAGACTGGTTTGCTTGTGGTCCTCTGCCAGCCTTGCTCATCTATGCCTTTGCCCAAAACTTCACTTTCCCACCAGGGGTGCCTTTTCTCTTCAATTTCTGCCTGTGGGTTGGCTCATTCCCGTCATCAAACGACCCAAACAGCACGTGAAAAAGACAAGCTTGAGTTCAAATCTCAGTTCTCCCATTTGGCAGGTGTGTGAACTTGGTCTCATTGTCTGACCTCACCAAACCTTGGTTTCTACATCTTGATTAGAATAAGAATAGCAGTAGCAATATTGTGCCCCACCCCACCCACCCGTCTGTACCCCGCCTTTACCACGTAGGTACTCATTCCTTACTGCTTCCTCTGTCCTTTTCCATGCTGGCCAACAACAGAGCTTTTGGCCGCCTTGGTGGTCTCCATCCACTTGCGGACACTGAACACACGATGAAATGCAGCTAGTCTGACCGAGGACCGAAACATGAATTTTAATAGACACACGTGGCTAGTGGCTACCAGACCGGGGAGTGTATTTCTGTCTGTAAGCTCAGTGAAGGCAGAACCCACACAGGTTTCCCTAAGGCAGTGGGTGATACAACAACTTATTCCGTCCTCCCCGCTGTCAGCACAACACTTAAGAACTTGATTTCTTTTGTAAAGATAGTTCATATAGTTAGTTCTCCCCACAGCTTCTGAGGTTAGAGTCAAGAGAATTCACTTAAAGTGTGACTGTATAGCATGGGTTCAAGAACAGGTAGTGATTACTATTCCAAACGCCTCCCTGCGACCAGCCCCGCTGATTTTTATCTCTCCTTTCCCCAGGCTGACTCTCCCTTTTTGTGCAAATGTTCTGGCCCACACCTGCATTGGCAGCTCCTTGGGGCAAGCTCCCCCAGCACGCTCTCTCAGTTAGCCCTTAGCTCAGCACTTGTTCCTGATTAGTAATGGTCTCTCACTCCATCTGAGATGGTGCTGAGAAACAGATAATCTGGGTAGCCTTATTCTCTGGAATGCTTCACACACGCTCGCGCGCACTCACACATACACACACGCACGTGCACACACGCACATGCACACGCACACACACACAATGTGCAATAAAATGAAAGTGGCTTGTATTAGCTGAAAACATCTTGACGTTCCTTCCCATGGGAATGCAGACGTAGTGGGCAAAGAAGTGGCGCTCTCACTACAGAAAGCGTGAGGGAGCCATATTGGTAAGACACCTGCCTCCTTTTCAGGCCACTGTGACCATAACTGTCCCTATGGACGCAAAACTTCCGCTAAAAAAATTCAGTGGTGCTAGCATTCTTGGTATCAAACAGATGAAAAAAAGCCGTTATTGAAATGAACTTCAATTTGTCTTTTACAGACTGCCAGGCTGAGGAGAGCTAATTATCTCCTTTCCCTGTGGTGACTGCAGTCAAGTAGGCACCAGGCATAAGCAAACTGCAAAGGGCCACTGTGGGAAGGATGAGGGCAGGAGGGGGATGGTCTGAGATGATGGGCCGAGGAACACCAGGGTCTAAACGGTGGGAAGAGGGGAAAGAACTGCCGTGGATCAGAGAGCAGAGAGACAGGTGCACAGTCAGGCAGGGAGGACATCAGCACCACAAAGAGCGTCTGGACAGGCAGGGTGAGTTGCTGCGCTGCCGTCCCCAAGAGTCCCCGTGAGACGAGACAAAAAGGAATGTATAGATTCATTCCATAAACACCTTAGTGCTCTTCGTTCTGAGGAGTTTATAACTATTAACTCATTTAATAAATCAGGCTTTTTATAATTCATAGAACTCCAGGTGGCCAAAAAGCAAAGTACCTTCAAAATGTTTAGAAGGGGGGAAAAAAAGGCAAGAAAACTAGCAAGGAGTTGCAATCATCTGTGCCAAACACATCTTCTTTTTTAAAAGAAGTGTTTATTTTATGAGTATGACCATTTTCCTTGTGTATACCTCATCCCTGCCTGATGCCTGAGGGTGCAAGGGGAAGGGGTCTGTCATGGCTAGTTTTATGTCAACTTGACATGAGCTAGAGGCATCAGAGAGGAGGGAACCTCAACCAAGAAAACGCCTCCATAAGATCCTGCTATAAGCTAGCCTGTAGGGCATTCTCTTCTTTAGTGATTGACAGGAGAGGGCCTGGCTCATTGTGGGTGGTGCCATAGTGGGGCAGGTGCTCCTGTGTTCTATAAGAAAGCAGCTTGAGAAAGTCATGGGGAGCAAAACAGTAAGCAGCTCTCCTCCATCGCCTCTGCATCAGCTCCTGCCTCCAGCTTCCTGCCCTGCTTGAGTTCCTGCCCTCCTTGTTTTTGATGACCTGTTGTATGGAACTGAGTGAAATAAATTCTTTCCTTCCCAAATTGCCTTTTGTTTCATAACAGCAATAGTAATCCTAACTAAGGCAGGGTCAGGTCCCTGATTGTGAGCCACCACATGGATGCTGGGAACTGAACCTGGGTCCTTTGTAAGAGCAGCAAGTGTTCTTAACCTCTGAGCTATTTCTCCAGCCTTCAGCTACCACTTCTTAATTCACCTTTCTACAAATTGGAATGAGCCCTAGCTCTCTCAGGACCTAGTAAATGTGGACAAGCCTTGGCCTCATTTCTGTTTACATGACAAGTGACAAACGGTCTCTTTCTGTATTTGGGTCTCCAGTTGTGAAAACACCTAACGCAGAATCTTCAAGGCCACCGGGTAGGGAGAGTAGTCTTTAGGGTATATATTTTAAGGGCGTGGGTCTTGTTACCCCCACCCAGCGTGTTTGGAGCAGGGTATCTGTATAAGTTGTATCCTATTTTGACTTGGTGTTATGATTCTTGTTTTCCTGAGAGCTTCTTATTTCTGAATCTGAGCCTGTGGTCTGTCTATTAAAAATGTGCCTAGAGGAAGCAGGTCACACTCTCAAGTTCTCACTCCCAAAATCACCTCTGTGAGCAGGGAGATAGCTTTTTTTGGTAAAGTGCTTGCCTTGCAAGCATGAGGATCTGAGTTAGATCCCTGGGACCCACAAATGAAAAGAAGCTCGTAGCGCTAACACTATTTGTAAGCCGGTCAGGCAGGTC